TCTTCGTCTGGTAATCCTGCCACAATCGCCCCGCGGGCACGTCCCCGGACGGCGCGAGAGTGCCCTGCGCAGTAGGGGGAGGAGGAGAGGAGGAGGCGCAGCCGATAGCCGCAAGATCTGGTTAAGTGAAGGAGGGGAGGGAGGGGTCGGCGTTGCGTGCTCGCATGGGGGATGTCGAGTCGTCTGGGTCGTGGTCGTGGTCGTCTTCGTAGCCGTCGTAGTCGCGGTCGTCGTCGACGTGGTTGTGAACGTGGACCTCAGGGGGGCAGAGCGGGAGCCGACGGGCGCCTGCGCGCACAGCTTGCTCTCGAGGGCGCGCGGCGGCGAGTCCGTGTAGGCCCCCCCGTCGCCCCAGGCGGAGCCCGTGCGGTTGTCCTGGAAGAACATCCCGATGATGGCCGTCCTGGTCAGGCGGCCTTCGGCCAGCTCCGCGCTCAGGGGCCGCTGGTTCTTCTCAGGGTTCTCTATGCTGTCCCCCTTGAACCCGCCGAGGGCCCCGAAGCGCGACTTTCCGAAGCCCGCCTCGGTTCTGCTGAGCTTGCCCGGAGGATCCGCTGGGTCCTGCCTGGCCGCGCGACGCTCGAGGGAGCCGTAGGAACAGGACCATTTGCCCCCAGTCGGCACCAGACACCTTGCCTGGAGCGCTCAGGCCTTTCGGAAGACTCGCAAGGTCAGGTCCCTCGAGGACGACACCTCCCGGCCACGGGAAGACATCCTGCGCGATGTACCCTGTGGCGGCCCTCATGGCGACGCGGCCGTGCTTGACCTCGGCGCCCCTCCTCCTGTGGGGGACGTCCGCACCGACGTCCTTCGCAAAGCCGAGCGGGCCCCAGTGGTCGACGGGCGGCTGCAGGTCCCATTCGTTTTCGAGGGCGCGCAGCGGCGAATCCGCGTAGGTCGCCCAGTCGCCCCAGGCGGAGCTCATGAGGCCGTCCTGGAGGAGCATCCCGATGATGGCCATCATGGCCAGGCGGCCGTTGGCCAGCTCCGCGTTCAAAGACCACTTCATCTTCCCAGGGTCCGCGGCGTCGCCCCCCTCGTGCGCATTGAGGGCCCTGGGGTGCGACATTCCGATGCCCACCTCGGAACCGTTGGGGCCCGGGTTGCACCCAAACAGGCCCGACTCGCAGTACAGGCCATGCGCCGCGATCTGCAGCCAGCCTGGTCCTGGCACCGTGGGGAGGGTGGCCAGACCGCGCGGGATGTTCTCGAACCCCCCCTCGAAAGACGGGGAGACCTCGCCGGGGGACTTGCCAGCGGCCTCTGGCGTGTTGTAGCTCATCGTGGCGAGCGGGCTCACCCGCCCATCCTTGCTTTCTGCCTCGCGGCATCTCTTGAAGGCCGCGGCGTCGACATCCTCCGCGAGGTCGGCAGGGCCCCAGAGGCACACTGGCGCCAGCGCGTCCAGCTCGCTCCCGAAGGAGCGCAGCGGGGGGTCCGTGTGCGGCGCCCAGTCGCCCCACGCGCTGCTCGAGAGGCCATCCTGGTAGAACATCCCGACGATCGCCATTATCGCCAGCCTTCCGTTCGCGGACTCGGCGTTCAACTTGTCATCGAACTTCGCCTCGAGCGTCGGGGAGATCTCGCCGGGGGACTTGCTGGCGACCTCTGGCGTGATGTATCCCTTCGCAGCGGGCGCGCTCACGCGCGCATCCTTGCTCTCTGTCTCGCGGCGCCTCCTGAGTGCCGCGGCGTCGCCCTCCTGCGTGAAGCCTGCGGGGTCCCGGACGCCCGCTGGCGCTTGCACGCCGAGCTTGCTCTCGCAGGCGCGCGGCGGGGAGTCCGAGTACAGCGCCCAGTCGCCCAATCCGCTGCTCGAGAGGCTGTCCTGGTGGAACATCCCACTGATCGCCATCATGGCCAGCCTTCCGCTCGCCGTCTCGGCGCTCAGCTTGCGGGACTTGGTTTCGTCGCCCGGCAGGGCGTTGCCGTTGGGCGCCCTCGGGGCGCCCGTCGTGGCGAGCAGGCTCACGAGCCGAGTCTGGACCTCGGCGGCGGCGGCGGCGCCGGCGGCCGCAGCGGGCGCCGCGGCGGGCGCGGCGGAACCCGCGGCCGCGGCCACTGCAGCCGCCGCCCCCGGCGACGCGATCAGCGGCCGCCGCCAGCGGCCCGCCGGCGGCGGCGACGGCGACGGCGGCGGCCGCGCCGGCCTCGGCAGGCGCGCCGGCGGCCGCGGCGGCACCCGCGGCCGCCGCCACAGCGGTGGCCGCCGCGCCCGCGGCGGGCCGCGGCCGCCGCGGCCGGCCCCAGCGCCGCAGCACGCGCCACAGCGCCGGCGGCCGCGGCGGCCTCGCCACGGCCGGCCGCCGCGACGGCCCGCGGCGGCCGCGGCGCTGGCGGCGGCGGCGGCCGCCGCGGCAGCCCGAGGCGCCAGCCCCGGAGGCGGCGAGGCGCACGCAGCGGCCGCGAAGCCTGCAGCGCCCGCGGCGCCGGTCGCGGGCGCGGCGCCACGGGCGCCCGCGGCCGACGCGGCGCCTGCGGCGCCGGCGGCGCGGGCGGCGGCGCGACCGGCGGCAGCACGTCGCAGCCGCCGCCGCCGCGCCGAGCGAAACTCCACGGCCCGGGGACGAGGGCCTGGAGGGAGGAGCGGGGCTCCCTCCAGGCCCTCGTCGGCGGCCAGACCAGGAAGAGGGGGGCAGGCCCGGCAGGCGCAAGCCGGCTAGGCTCCCTCGAGCCAGAGCGGCCTTGAGCCAGAGGGCTACAGAACGCTGGTGGGGTTACTTCTTCTTTCACAGCCGCAGGCGGAAGCGCCAGCGGCGGAAGGTCGCGAACGGGCCGCGGACGCGACTAAATTACCTAACGCGCGCTGGTGGGGTCACGCGAAGCGTTTAGAATTCCGAAGGCAATGCTGGACTGAAATTGGTGTCGATGCGCGTGCGGGAGGGTGGGGGAGAAACTATAGAGACTGAGAGATACATCGCGCTCTTTCTCTCCATAGATGTAGAGAGACACAGAACGCGCGATCTTGAGAGAGAGAGAGAGAGAGAGAGAGAGAGAGAGAGAGAGAGAGAGAGAGAGAGAGCGAGAGAGAGAAAAAGAAAGAGATATATAGAGAGAGAGAGAGAGAGAGAAAAAAAAAAACGCGGAGGGAGGCAGGGACGGAGAGAGAGAGAGAGAGAGAGAGAGAGAGAGAGAGAGAGAGAGAGAGAGGGAGCGAGGGGGGGAGGGAGGGAGGGAGAGAGGCAGTGGCAGAGAGAGAGAGAGAGAGAGCGCGAGAGAGACACACACACAACGAACAGACAGAGAGAACCATAATGATAGAGCGAGAGAAAGAAAGAGAGAGGGAGAGAGAGAGAGAGAGAGAGAGAGAGAGAGACAGGCAGAGATATATAGAGAGAGGGAGGACGCCAGAGACACGATTCAACACATATATATATGTATGTATATATATATACATATATATATACATATATATATATATATATCGCTCGTGCTACCGCGCCGCGCAGTGTCCATAATATCACTGTGCAGCCTTGTGAGTTGATAAGAAGACCGCCCTCGCAGCTCGGGCGTTGTCCTCGGTCGCTTCAGGTAGCGACCACCTTATAATGGGAAGTTTCGCCTGTATGTTGAACGCATGAAAGCAGTGACTGTGCGCTCTAGCGCAACGCGCTGTGGAGACTCGTCTGATTTTCCGCTGCAGAGGCCCAGCCGAGCGAGAACTGACTGTGGGTGCGCAATTGCGAGTGCCACGCCGCGCGCACTGTCTGCCAAAGGTGTGGGCAACGAACGTAGCGAGACATGGAGTCCAAGGCGCGTGCGTCCTCAGATTGGCGGCAGCCGAAAACACAGGGGCTGCATACGTCACTAGAGCGTAGGCGGCGGCTCGTGGTCCATCCCCCCACCCAGGTCTTGAGTAGGGCCGAGTGAGCAGCGGGCGAAAAGCCCGAAACGAGCAGCTCTTCTAGCGGCTCCCATTCGATCTGTGAAAGCGTAAAAAGATTCGCCTGGGTTCGGCCAGGAGTTGAGACGAGAGAGAAAGGTCACAGGCAGGCGGTCAGGGAGGAGCGAGCAGACAAGGTGGGAATGCGCAACCTTCTGCATGCGCAAACGAGCAGTAGATCATTCGGCAAGGAGGCGGGCCTTCACCTCTTTCCACTTACTCAGCGCTGTGCCGCAGGCCACGGCCAGAGCACGATTCTTGTCGTTGGGGGAAACCCTGCGCCGCTCGAGGGTGTGGGCGATCGGCTTCGGCTTCCAACGGAGTGGGGCGAACGTGCCAAATGTGCGGGCGCGGAACGAGAGGCCGATCTCCGCTGCGTCGCGCAGACGCGGTGCCCAAAACGGCCAGTTCAGAACAGAGTCAGCGGCGCTGCGCATCAATGCCGCGCGATTGTTGAGCTCGAGGGAGACCGCCTTCAGCGATGTCCAGCGCCCCATCGCCAGTAGGTCATCCCGAGGAAGAGCTTGTGGGGGCAGGTGCCAGACGCGATGCAACGCCAAGCTTTTTTCTTCTTCATCTTCTGCGGCCGCGCGAAGAGCTGGCTGAGGTACGAGGTCTTGCTTACCGCGCGCTGGTTGTAGAGCATCAGCGAGGTGCTGGTCGGGGCTCCGACGTCGGCGATTAGGTTGGTGGACCGCTGCCAGCCCAGGATTACCTTCTTCCACCTGTGTCCGTCATCAACGCTGGGGCGCAGCAGCGCACCCAGGTACTCTGCCATGTCCAAGATCGCCATGTCATTCCAGCGAGGTACAAGCTCAGCGATCTTGGCGCGCACCCTGTCCTCCACCGCAGGTGTGAAGGCCTCCGCCAGAGGGATGATCTTACACTTCGCCGTCTTCAGCACTAGGCGTGCAAGAGTCTCCGCCGCGTAGAACACCCTATTTATAGGACGGGGCATCTTGAGCGTTGGTGGCACGCTGCCCACGTCGTCGGCGCAGACGCCGGCGACCGCCCCTTTGAAGTTCGCCGTCCGCGAGTGCATGTCCCTGATCAGCGGGTCCACGCCGACCGCCCATGGCGTCCCCGACCAGGGGCACCCCTGGAGGGTGCCCGAGGCGAGAGCGCAGAAGATCTCGTTGGCGCCCGAGAGGTTGGTGAAAGCGACAGGCAGGAGGTAGATCGCATCAATCATGTTGCGGATGCCTTCAGGGAAGTCGGCCTTCTCCAGCGCCATGTTGAGCCAGGTTCTGCACGTCGGTGGAAACGCATCGCCGAAGTCGTAGAGCACCATCAGCGAGTCTCTGTTCGTCGGGTTATCTTGCATGGCGACAATGCGAGACTGTGCATCCATAGCCACCGCGCGTTCGATGAATCGCTGCTTCGGGAGGAAGCCTTTCTGCGCACCGTGGGCGTCTTTCGCGACGATCGGCTTCGCCAGGTCGTTTCCCATGGCAGCCGCAATCTTGCAGTCCGTGTTCTTCAAGGAGAGGGGTCTCGTAGCCTTGGCCAATCTGGTAGCCGGGGTGAATATCATGAGCGAGTCGTTGAAGTCCAGCGATTTTGGACAACCTTTCATTACCTCGAGCGACACCTCGAGCAGGAGCTGCGCCGAGGAGGGAATGCGCTTTCAGGCTGTGTGCGGGATACCGTCAGGACCTGGTGCCGAGTTGTTGAGCCTGCGCATGAGGTTCTGCATTTTGCCTAGCGTCGGGGTGTCCATCTGGGAGCTACCGTAGGGGATGATGCGCTTGTCCAAGTAGCGGCTCACGTGCTTGGCGTGACTCGGCTTCGCCTGAAACACAGGAGACCATTGGCGCCGAAGCTCGGCAATCATGTCTTCAAGCTTTTCGGTGGTGCTGTGGTCGTGTAGGACCTCGATGGCCTTGAGCTTCAGCACTTCAACAGTGGGGGTCCAGAGCTTGCCACGCTTCTGGATCGCCCTCTGCATCTTGCGGAGGCGCTGTCTCTTGCGGTAGTGGGTGTCCCTCGCTTGCTCCTCCTGCTGCAGGGCCTCCGCCCACTGGTCCAAGTGCTCCTGCTGATGCTGCTCGAATGTGCGGCGGGAAGTCCCAGGCTCGATAAGCGTGATGTTGTTGCTGTCAGAGATGTCCTGGAACTTTGCGCCCAGCTTCGTGCTAGCATGCAGCGTGCGAGCACTCTTCCAGTCATTCCGCCATGCGGCCCTTGAAATCGCCCTGCGCGTCTCGAAGGCAGCCGCCGAGCAAGGGGCGCGTGCGTCTGTCACGTCGTTGCGCGTCAGCCTGGCCGCCTCGCGAATGAGGCGCTTGTATTCCTTGAGGCGGATGAAGGGCGGGTAGTTGTCCATGTCTGCAGCGCCGCTCAGCAGGTCGAAGTATTTGGTGGAGAGGAGGCTCTCGAAGCTGTTCTGCGGGATCGGCTGCAGCTCGCTGTCCTCGGGGGCACGCGCTCCGAGCCGAAGGTGAGCTGGGGCGCGGTCGGAGATGCCCCTGTCGAAGAGGGCGCCAGGCGCCGCGGGGGCGCGCGCCTTCGCGCGCCACTGGATCAGCAGCCACGGCGGCGAGCTGATGTAGATCTTGTCAATCCACGTGCACTGCTGCGAGTGCTCGGTGTAGTGCGTCGGCAACTCAGGGTCCACCTCAACCATGTCACCCAGAGCTTGTTCCCATAGCAGCTGGTGTTCTGGGTGGTGATTTCGCCGACGAGGAAGGCCTTTGTTGACCAGCGGCGCGGCCGGCTCGAGCGGAGCCTCATCCATGAAGTTGAAGTCACCCATGACGAGCACGGCGATCCGCTCCGGCTGTTGTTCGGCAATGCTGAGCTCGGCGCGGATCGAGCACCTCGTGCGCTGGACCTGGTCCGCGGTGAGCCGGGAGTCGCGAGCGTTGTAGATCGCGATCATGTTGGGGAGTGCGCCCGCTGCAGCATCGGATACATCCGACTTGATCTGTAACCGCTGGACCCGACCAGGGATGGGCTCCGAGTGACGAGATCGATCTGGGTCAGCAGCTTCGGCCGGCGATAGCCCAGGGATGAGCAGCGCGACGCCACCAGTGCCCCGATTAGGAATTGAGGCGAAGCATGCCGCTGTCTTGTGTGCCAGGTGAATCTCGCGGTTGAGCTCCGCCTCCGAGCCGTGGGCCTGCTGCGTCGCCAGCGCCGCCGTGGAGTTCATCACCTGCAGCATGAACGAGATCTTCCTCTTTCCCTTGATGGGGCCCCTGCACATCAGCGCCCTCGAATTCCACGTCGTGAGAGAGTTCGGCTTCGACGCGTGCGTGCCCCGCCAAGGGGCTAAAGTCCTGTTAAATCTGCCACTGGACGTTCTGTGCGCCAAGCGAGGTCTGGCAGAATTGCTCGAACTGCGCGCGGACCTCCTCTCCGTTGAGCCCGCGTCGAAGGCAACCGCTGCAGTTGAAAAGCAAACGGGTGGGCTCGTCTTTTGTGGGCCCCGCCATGATGGAGAGGACTGGCATGTTGTTGCAATATACAATGCCCTGCTGACGGCCACTTCGCCACCGCTTCGTGGCGTCTTGTGCTTTGCAGAATTGGGCGGGCTTCTTGGCCTGGAATTCCCTCCGCGCCGTTTTCCCTGAGCGGTCGAGGCCGAGGAAGAGTCGTGTAGATTGTCCATGAACTCTTTGAACTTCTGCATTGATCCATTCACCATCGGGACCCGAGCAGATGCGTTGGCATCACCACTGAATTGGATGAGGAAGCGCCTAGCGGGGCTCTTCCCGACCACCCCCCAGTCGCCTTCGTTGAGTCCACACCTGTCCATGATCAGTTGGATGCTGTGCTTGAACTGGTCCGCTGTGTAATTCTCCGCCGCCGTGCCGACGATGATGCTGGTGTCTGCCGCTCTGTCCCACTCAATGAGGTTCTCGTAATCTTTGATCGGGATCTGCGCTTCTTGCATGTGTAGCCGCTGTCGCATTTCTGCAACTTGAGCACGTAGTTCTCGTTGATCTGCTTCCAGCTTGGTCGAGTCGGCCTGGAGCGATTGGATCTGCCCTGTGAGCTGTTCGTGTTGCTTCTGCTGCTGACCGACGACCGCGCCCAGAGGACCTCTGAGCTGCGTGGCGAACTCTGCGATGACCTCTTGCTTGACTGTGGCCAGCTTCGCGCCGAGCTGCGCTGTGAGGAAGTCCTGCGAGGCCCTGATAGCGGCGCTGACGGCGTCGATGGGGTCAAGCAGCTCGGAGGAGGTGGAGGCGTTGGACGCGGCGCTCCGTTCTGTAGCAGCGTCAACACGGAGCCGCTTGGATCCTTCAGCTGCGGCGCGAGAGAGAGCAGCCGAATCTCTCCACGGGTCATGCTGATGGACGGCATCTGGGGGACGACCACCTGCACGCTGAAGAGGCCCTTCGCTCGCATCAGCACCAGAGGGTTGGTGAGCAGCAGCAGCAGCGTCAGCGGTGCCAACTCCACGACGAGCCGACACTCGCGGGAACCACTGGTTGCCTGGGGCTGACCAGGTCTTGGGATATGGGTGCCAGGGGCGGACCTGGATTTCTGAACACGGATTGCAGGGGCGGACCTGGACTTGGAAACGGCTGGATCTCGGGCCGGGAGCCTACCCTGTGAAGGCAGCTCTGGAGGGGCAGCCATTTGGCCTAGAGCCAAAATGGTTACGGACACCTATATATATATATATATATATATATATATATATGAACATACATATATATGTATGTGTGTGTGTCTGTCTGTCTGTCTGTCTGTCTGTCTGTCTGTCCGTCCGTCCGTCTGTCTGTCTGTCTGTCTGTATGCCTGTATCTATACATATGTATGTTTGTATGTATGTATGTATGTATATATATATATATATATATATATATATATCCATGGATCCTCCGGCCCCATTGAGGGGCCATCCGGCTGCGAGGCGTAGGTTTGCTGCTTCCTGCGCCAGTTCCAGCTGCAAGTTCCCAATGTTTCAGTATTGCATGTTGTTTCTTACTGTCTTTTGTTACTGTCCGCGCGAGGGGGGAACCGAAAAACGCCCGGCTACCGTCTCCGAGTCGCGTGCTCTTAATCTCTGGGTGGGCCGTGGGACATGACAAAATACGTGAGATTCGCGCTCCCGGCGCAAAAATCCCTGGTAAATTACATCGCAGTCGCGCCCCCGAGGCACAAACAAAAATACATCACAATGCATTCGCATCCCCGAAACCACGACCCCTCGTAAAATACGCCATGTTCACGTTCCGACCCCCCGTAAATTACGCCACGTTCTCGCCTGTGGGGCGCGATCCCCTGCAAATTAATCCACAGCCGCGCCCCCCAGGCTTCGATCCTTCGTAAATTACGCTGCACTCGCGCCCCCGAGGCCACGATCGCCGGTAAATTATACAACGCTTGCGCCCCCGAGGCTACGATCCCGCGTAAATTACGCCGCATTCGCGCCCTCGTAAATCGCGCCCCCGAGGCCACGATCTCCTACAAGAGGCCCCAAAAAGCGCCCAAGAGGCGTTGCATCACGCAGATGCGGGTAAGAGTTAGGGGGCGGTGGGGGCGTCGGCAGTTTGCGAGACTCTGGAGAAGCCCGCCGCAGGCTCCAAAGTTGCACAAATTATGCAACGAGCCCGCCGGCGCCGATTTTTCGTTAAACAAATGTGGGTAGGTTGCGGGTGGTACGCAAATGGGTCGCGGGTGGGTCGCGGGTGTGGAGGGCAGAAAACCCATCCCAAAATCATCACCTCGACAAACGAAGCCGTCTAGTGAACGCACACAAGACATGAATCGAACAAGGCAGGGCTGCTTAGTCAACGCCCAGGGCCGTTGTAATAAACGTCAATTGTCGGGTCCGGGGGGGTTTTCCTCCTTTGAGGGTGGGTCGCGGGGTGGGTCGCGGGGTGGGTCGCGGGTGGGTCGCGGGTTGGGTCGCTGGTGGGTCGCGGGGTTGGTAGTGGGTGGGTCGCGGGGTGGGTCGCGGGTGGGTCGCGGGTGGGTCGGGGGGTCGCGGGGTGGGTCGCGGGTGGGTCGCGGGTGTGTCGCGGGGTGTGTCGCGGGGTGTGTCGCGGGGTGGGTCGCGGGGTCGGTCGCGGGGTGGGTCGCGGGTGGGTCGCGGGTGGGACGACGACAACAAACAACAACAACAACAACAACAACAACAACAACAACAACAACAACAACAACAACAACAACAATCACTTTACCCGAACGCTCAGTGTTCTCACCAGTGCCAGGGTTTTCATGCGACGCCAGCCAATACCCCCACTTTGTGGGGGGGCAGTGCAAGCTCTACCAAATATCCACACGACTCTTCGCCACCACCCACACCCAGCTTCCCGCCCTATGACGTTCGGACACTTCACTTCGTGGCCTGCGGACGACCGTGGCTACTACACTGGCGTGGAGTACACACCCACAGAAGTTGTTAAGCCTACGTTCGTACACCCACAGAAGTTGTTAAGCCTTGTTAACCCACAAAGGTAAGGACAAGAGCGGGGAGCATGATGACAGGTGTATGACCATTGGTTTTTTTAGGATTCGGACAGCGCGCGCGGGTAGAAATTTTGAAAAGTCGTGCAGGTGTTTTTCGAGGACCTACGCTGCGATGCGTGTGATTTTATGATGCGCGGTGCTAAAATTCTTAAGAAGCCCAATGGTTTTTGGAGATTTCGGCGTGCGCGCGCGAAGAAAAAACGAATGTGTCCCGCATGGTATTATTTGACAGGGATGATGGCCCTGGCAGGTGCGCAACCGTTGTCGCAGAAGTTCGAAAAAGTTGCTCGCAAAAGCCCGTTTGACAGAAATGTTTAAAAAGTGTTGGGTTTCCTACGAATCCGCAAGAGCGCGCGGGATGAGATTTTGACAATTTTTTGTTGAAAAACCATTGGTTTTTTGATGTTTTTATGTTAAAATCGCTGCGAACACTAAGGTTTTGGAAGGATTTCGTCTTGCGCGCGCGAATGTCCACTTTACCTTATTTTTTGCAAGGGATTCTTGAAATTTGATTATATTAGAACAAGAAATGTCATTTTCTATTGTTTTTTGCAAGGGAAAGCGGATTACAACAAAACAACCGGATCCTGTACACACCCTCTTTTCTGAGGCTTCCTCACGAAAATGATGAAAATGTAGCTGCGGCCTAGGCGGCGCAGGGGGGGCGCGCACCAGGGGGCCCAACAATAAATATTCTTTAGAATAAATAATGTTCAACAACAACAACAACAACACCAACAACAACAACAACACCACCACCACCAACAACAACAACAACAACAACACCAACAACAACACCATCAACAACAACAGCAGCAGCAACAGCAGCAACAACAACAACAATCATTTTAAGACTGTTCGTCCTTATCTGCTCGAGTGTCCAATAACGCGTATTTCCCAAACCCTCGGTACCCGCCCTCTCCGTCTTCGATCGAACCCTTGTTGGGGGGTATACCTTTCTTCCCTGCAGGCCGGGCCCCGGCAAGCGGCAGGGCGGCCGCGGACCGTCGGCCTGGCCAGCGGCAGCGCTGATCGGCGGGGCGGCCGCAGACCGTCGCCCCGACACTCACAGGGACGGACAGGGGACGGACCACGACGATGACGAAGACGACGACGTCGACGACGACGGCGACGACGACGACGACGACGGCGACGACGACGACGACGAGCGAAAGCGTGAGCGAGAGAGAACGACAGCAGGGCCACGTAGGACACGAAGTAGGCCACGAAGGGCGATAGCGGAGACGAAGGGAATGCGTATGGGGCCACGAAGAGCGCGAACGAGCAGGGGCCACGAAAGGCAGATAATGCGGGGCCACAGAAGGCAACGATGGGGCCACTGAAGGTAGCAATTGGGCCACGTAGGACAGTGATGGGGCCACACACGACGGCGACAGCGGGGCCACGAAGGGCATGCACATGGAGCCAAAACCGGCGCGAACGAGCGCGGGCCACGAAGGGCATACGTATATTGGGCCGCGGAGGGCAAGAACGGGGCCATTGAGGGCAGCAACGGGGCCACGAAGGGCAGCGAAGGGCGACAGCGGGGCCACGAAGGGCATGCATATGGGGCAACCACGGGCGCGAACGAGCGGGGGCCACGAAGGGCATACATATATGGGGCCACGAAGGGCAGCGAAGGGGCCACGAAGGGCCGCAACGGGGCCACGAAGGGCAGCGCGGGGGCCACGAAGGGCTGCAACGGGGCCACGAAAGGCTGCGACGGGGCCACGAAGGGCAGCGAGGGGGCTACGAAGG